TCTCTCTCTCTCTCTCTCTCTCTCTCTCTCTCTCTCTCTCTCTCTCTCTCTCTCTCTCTCTCTCTCTCTCTCTCTCTCTCCCTCTCTCTCTCCCCAATGATAAACCCTTCCAGTCCCCCATGGCTACCGAATTTCCTGCAGCGCCCCTATATGCAACCACTTGGCCACGTTTCCGCAACAAACGGGAATGCTCCGCAACTTAATTAACCTACTCTCATGCTTCCTTAAATACTTGACGGACACCTAGCAATTACCTTGTCGTGGTGCTATACCGACAACCTATACCAAACATGCTGAAATTTTCGTCCCACCTTCGTCCAATATCGAAAAACGTTGCACGCTGTACCCTCCGCAAAATCTGCCCCATTAAAATTAAAACGAGCGTGCCCCCTGACCCTCCGACATCTTTCACTCCTTATGCTATAATAACCTATGCAAATCGCTTCGTGTACTATATAGTACACAAGTATAAGGTAACGATAAGTAAGTAACAATTCAATGGATTTCCTATCGATCAACACATGTGTGACTCCACGTAACCTTGTTCCCTTATAATGATATATAAAATTACAAAATATTTACAACACAAAAATTAAAATAGTACATATAAAATAGTACATATAAAAAATAAAAGGTAAATTATACATTTATAACAAAAAAAAAAAAAAAAAAAAAAAAAAAAAAAAAAAAAAAAAACCTCTTTACCAATAGTTTAATCCTAATTTAATGATAATTTAATAAAAAATTATATTACCAAACAATGGACTAAATTCTCTTCAATTTTTTCTATAACTTATGGCTTTCCGATACCATCTCAGATTGATCCCCTAAACGGCCGTTACTCCCCGCGTATAATGGCAACCCTCCACCCCCCGATCGATACGCAAAACAACCATTCATAACTTTCCTTAAATATCAAAGTGCCTTAGACGACAGACCTCCCTGTAACATGTTTTTTTTTTATAAAAATATAATACCTGATGAGACAGACCCCATTACCCGCTTGCACTTGCTGTGCTATTACTACAACAATACCGATAGTACCACTATGACTACGCTGTGAACGTTTTTGAGAAAAGGGAATCAAACGGCTTACGACTGATCTGCCTACCCGAATAACCACCGCTAACTAGCGATATCCACCAATGATCCCCTATAAATTATCTACCCACACCAACTATATGCTCTTTGCGGAAACTGTATTACTACAATAACCCGCTATTCTTGTATGCAACACGAATACACTTCACATAAATTATCCTTAAATAAACATACATAACAAAAATAATAATTACAATAATATTCCGAAACAAATAATATATATAGATACATATATAAATAAAATAATTAAAAATTAACGCAAGTCACAGGCACGTATAGCTTTCGATAATTAGGACACGCCCCCGGACTATCTGCCGAAACCCCAATATAACAGACTGACACCGGCCTTGCCTCGGGCACCCCCCTGACCCTGGCCGGACCATGGCCTGCTTAAAATCCCTCCTTAACTGTACACAAAATAAGGACCTCTAACACTTATAAAAATAAATTAACTTCCCTATAAAAAATAAAAAATAAAAAATATAAAATATAAAATATAAAATATAAAAATATAAAATATAAAATATAAAATATAAAATATAAAATAAGTTTTTTTTTTTTTTCAAAAAAATAAAAAATAAAAAATATATTGTTACCACCTGCAGCCGTTATAAATCAGCCGAACTTAGGTTCCACCTAAGACTCAGGTATGCAACACCCCGTCAGACCTTCTTTACTGCAACCTTACTATTGAGAAATCCATAACTATACTACAAACTAAACGATTGCCATCAAAACACAATAGTTACACTGCACCCTTCCCCCGATTCAAGCAACATGATCCTGACCTCGCATGCAACACAGTTTATTTTCGTCATTACCCATAGATAACAAATATACCTATGCATACAGCGCCCAACCTACGGCTGCCCCCACCATCCCACACTAAGGCACTTAGGACCCTTACCCCCCCTATAACCATGCTCGCACATCGTATGAACACTACTAACAAGTATACACTATCTCTCGATGCGCGTATGTTACGTTGTGCAGGACCAAGACAGTATTCTGATGGGATGGCACCCGGAGCTGGTCACGACTATTAGACCATTCTCCGCTCTCAAGCCCCCCAACGTTCACTGTCAGATAGCCATGTTGGCTATCCCTGCTGATGTCCTCCTACGTGTACACCAAGCTTCGAACGGACAAGCTCCCTTCCTTATAGAGAACCTGTCCTTCAGCGACTGGGCCACAATGGTTGCTGTCATGCAAACCAGACCCCATGAGCTCGAAGACAAGATCAAGGAGCTTGCCGCCAACATCGCAGAAGTCTGTAGAAAGTCTGCAATGGAGAACATAGAACTGAACCTCATCGTTGCTAAAGGTGAGAAGATCCTCCTCGAGCTCCACGGTTATGACACCTCGCATCTAGAATGTGCTGGTCAGATATCTACGAACGACACCTCAGAGACCTTCATGGACACCTACATCAGCACCATTGCACTTACACCTGCAGAACTAGATTATCTCAAGAAAAAGGAGGTCTTGAGAAGGGACAACGCCTACATGGAGATCACCAGCTCATCCAACGAAACCAGCCACAAGCTTGGCAAGAACAGCTCCTTCCTACCACTCGCATCAAGCACGTGGATGGAAAAAGCTGTGCAAAAGGTTCACAACAGACTTTGGAAGCTGAATTCCTTCAACTACACAACACCGATCAGTGTGGACGCCTACATGGCGCTCGTCGGCCTGAGTAATACAGACATAGACAACTGTCGAACAACTGCCAGGAATGCTACTATCCACTTTCCGGCTGGGCGTGTCGGCTATGACGCAGACTTCCTGCCGATCGCCAAATTGGAGAAAGGCAAGTGTCCTAAAAAACCGGTGCTGCACCAGAAAGGCATCCCAAGCTTTCCTGCAGATCTGCCTGAACTAAAGAAACTGTGGAATGTTGGAAGACCCTTCCAGAAGTGCGCATGCAACGGGTGTGAACTGAACTTGACATGGCTCGACCACACGATTTGGTACATCATCGGCAACCTTGACAAGTTGGATCTGAATGCACCATCAGACAAGATCCGCATGCTCGAATTCCAAGCCCTGGTGCGCACATCTTGGAAAAGACCGATTCTGGCCCAGATTACGTTCCTGTTCATTTGAGAATACATAATGAAGATTGTGCACCTCATCACGCAAAACAAGAACATCTCCGCTGACGAAATCCTCGCCTTGGAAGATTTCCAGAACGTGCCTTTCGTGCGGAAATTCACCGCGGCTCTCCTCCCGAACGCTGAAGGACTCCTCACACCAGATGCCACCAGAAGAAGCGGTATCATAGACTTTGACGATAATTCATTGCGTAGATGCCGCCAGATGCGACTTGGAACCCCTGCCTCGTCCTCACCAGCAACGCGCTCATCCACTGCGAAAGCATCGCGTGCAACCACCAGTGCACACGTACCGTCACCGTTGCCAAGCACAACCAATATATATACACCAATACACCTTGCCTCTCCACCTGCCTCCAATCCTAGACCACACACTGCTGCTCCAGATACAACACCCCAGCCACTAAGAGAACCTGGTTTGACTGCTCAGCCAACACCAGCGGATAGCCCCCACCCCCCTCGCGTCTCGCCAACTGGGCAAGGATACGATACAGTACGCACGTCGCACAACAACCAGAACGCACAACAGAACCACGCATACCCACCACCCAACAGTCACCCTTCGCTGCACCCCAGTACACAAACTGGCCCTCAGCTTATTCCCATCACCAACCCCCTGATCTGCAACCCCCCAATGCCCCCACCGCCCATCCCCTGCAAATGAACGCCTTCACGTTCGCTGCAGCTCAGCTTGCCACCAAAAAACATCACCTCCACTAACCCGAGCACGTCACGCACATGCCCCTTGTTCTCTGTACAAGGAGCTGCCACCATAAACCTCTTCACTACTCCCATCGTACTGCCCACTGCCTCAGCCCCCACACCGCTCAGCAACACCAACTCCACCACACAACGGCCTCCTAACCTAGCCACAAATGCAGAAAAGCGGGCACAGAGGAGGGAGCAGCTGCTTAGAATTGCAATGAACCCACTGCCCGCTGAGAAAAGAAGAAACACCCGAAGAGGAAACAAGACTACCAAACTGAACACACAACAGAATGACGGACAGAAGCATAAGAGGGCACGGCGCAACAATCAGCAATACGATCACCGACAACTATACATGGATGACATCTTCCATGCATAGGCACAACGACATAATATCTTGGCCGCCCACCCGTTGCCCCTGATGACAGCCCAGCAAGGCAACTATACCAACCCCCCTGCTATTGCTGCTGAAGGCCCAGCGCATCCTGCCCAACCGTCGCAGCCCGCTCGCACTTGGCTTCCACCCACAGTGCAACTGCTACAGCAATGGCCACAACACCTCGCTGATGGAAATGTACCGCGACAACCGCCTGCACAGCCGAGCCCCGAAGTCATTCCAGTAAGCAGCAACGAAATCTTGGATGGCAGCAGACCTCAGCTCCCTATCACCATCAGCTCACCATCCCCAGAAACACCGATACGACCTGCTAATGTTGTCGAAGCTCTAAGGCACAACTCCGGTGCCAGCAACGCTGAATCATCACTCCTCCATACTTCCAGCAACCAGACAACGCTCGGCACCGAGTCCACATCTTCGGAAGAATCATGGAAAAGAGTCTGTCGTAGGCCCAGTCCAGATTATTTGGCCAGCGTCACAAGTATTGCAAGAAGCTGATTGGCCGCATGATGACACAAACAAGCTGTCTCGGATAACAACGGGTTACTGTGTCCCCCGTATTAGTGATAACCTCTACTAATTGAAACATACCTTCTTCTCCTATGTACCTCCTTCTCTCACCCTTTATGTCCCTCGCTTGCTCATGACTCCCCCGCCATCTCTCTTTCTTCCTCTTTCCTTCCCATGCATGATCCCTACTGCTCCCCTTCCACCCCTCTACCCACCACATTGCTCCCACTGAATTTATTCTTGTTCCCCTCCCACAACCTCGGTCTTTCGCTCAACCACTTCTTCCAGGTTTTCTCTTAATCTTTATTGTTCCCCGTCCTGCTCTCCTGGATGTTACCTTCACACCTTCCTATCCTACCTCTCGCTCCCGTTGTTTGTTTGCACAACGGGTCTCAGTACCACTTCAAATACAGCTTCAGGGGACTGACGCCAGACTTGAGCAACAGCACGCATAAATGCCTTAATAATGTTTTTAACAAGTAAGCTTGTTAGCCCCTTAGGCAATCTGATAAACAATAGGCTTGCTTCTATTAAATAATAGACTAAAGATTGTACGTTGGTAAGACGATAGCCTCCAATTATTCTGATCAGGCATCTGATACTACAGCAGGACTCTGGCAGACTAGAGAGTTTGACTGGCGTAATGATCACGGCCCCGCACCCTGACTCAGTGAATCAGGACTCTATTTTTTGCTTTGAGCTATCGTAGATACTACTCCGATTGAACGAGATGTTTTAGAGCTACGTTACCAGATACTTTCAAGACAGCATTGTTGTCCAGTCTCTGCCTTTTGCGGTTCTCGCACCGGCCTTTAAAGAACCTTTGATTATTGTTTTCCTGGCTGTACGCCTCTACTCTCTTGTTCTTTAAAATGTTTCCTGGTTACTTAAAGCACGTGCTTATAAAAGACTCTTGCAGTATTTTCATGGGTTGTTTGCCATGACCTGCCCCACATCCCAACCCCCTTGTCTCTGCCCATTGAAATGCCACCATAAGATGTCGACCACCCTACTTGCTGTTTACCCCCAAACTAGACAGTGTAGACACTACTACAAAAAACTATACTTGACCAACGCACGACCTCCTTTCTTAACATCTGAACAATGTTTTTTGCTGGTTCCGGCAATAATAATGTAACCGTATGCATTCCCTAGGAATTTCATAATGGTAAAAACTCAGATAAACTGCAGCCTGTACCTAAAAACACCTTGATGTCAAAACCATACCCCCAAACAAAAATATCAATGTACCCGCCCTTACCTACTTGATATGTACCTACGACTCAACCCTAAAATAGTTGTACATGTATATCTTCTCTGATCAGCCGGAAATCACAAATGTAGCATTCCACCCATGACCTGCCAACAGATACCCGGCATCCCCTAAAACAAACAAATGCCAAAATCAACTTACCCGCTTGATCTATCACAAAAACAAAATATTGCAAACGGATACCTTTTAACAACCATTAATGCTCTTAATAAAACAACAATTATTTAAAGTGTATTACCTTAATTGAGATGATGTGGGTGCAGGTACATCGACTGCAAACCATGGAGGATGGAAGACTCGGCTGGAGAACCCACAAAGAAGATAGCAAGATTATCATCCCATGCCATTACACCGACCGTTTAATGGACAGACTAAAATTCAGAAAAATATTCAATAAAATTCTGGATAGATACAACCCGTTTGTGCTCCCACTACTGAACAAATGCACATTTTCCTGGACATATGACGGCCACATTGCTAAAACTCTATACAAACCCGCTGTTGTCTTCCGGGACTTCGCTCTCAGCGAATGGATGAATCAAACACAAGAGAAATGTTATTGCCAGCATCAAAGGTATGCGGCATTCGCTACCCCTCTACCAAGGGAGGACCTCCAACCAGAAAACGGGGCCCACGTCCTTACGCTGGATTTGAACATTATCACCAACAGGGAATTGCAGAAACTTACCTAGTACGGACTAAACCATATCCCCGCACAAACACCCAACCAAAATGACACCATCGTTGTTGCACACCAGGTATGGGATAATCTAATGGAAATACTTAGCCGGAATGGTGCCCCCATACCAAATGAACACATACCACTGGCCAGCAAGGAATTCCTGGACATCATATTGCATATAACCTCTAGCACACGGCATCACAGAGAAATTAACATGAACGAACATGCAATCAAACACGAGATAGACTTTCTCACTAAACACTTCTACATTTCCGGTGCGGACAAGTACCTAACACTCTTGTGGTAATCTGCATTAACCTTGTAAGACAACTAACCCTGAGAAGGCTTTCTAGCCCAGACTTTGAACCTTGCCATTGCACTCCCAATAAACTACTTATACAACTTGAACTGGAACTGTCCTCGATCTTTCCAGACATACCGCTTGGTAAAAATGCATTACCATACCTCTTTGCCACCTACAAGAAGCATAAAAACTCCTTCTGCTGGTTAACCAATGCCTCTGACATCATTTATTCACCCCTTGTCGACCTCGCTGCTGAAATAATGAAAACGCTCATCAAAGTTGTGAAAATACACTGCGGAGGGTTAACACAACAAACTCTCACTAAAACTGGCCTGAAGGTTCCTTACTAGTGGCCCATAGATTCGACAGCAGACTATATCTATAATTTACCACCACAAGCAATGTCAGTTTTTTCTGCAGATATCACAAGATGCTACGAAACTATTCCCACTGACAGTAGCCCAGACGGTCTCCCCAATGCTTTACAGTTCTTCACAAGGATGACTTTCCAGCAAGCTAAGGCAATCCACGGTAGAGGGATATAACTTGCCTTCAAACTTTATTATAAAACTGACCAAGTAACCCCCCTCTGCGACTGGTTTCACCACTCTCCCCCAGGCTACCTAACAGTCAACTGCGAAATTGTCTGCGCCATCAATGACTGGCTTATTTCTAACGCCTACACCTTACTTGGTAACGTAGTATGGAAACAGACACTTGGTATCCCCATGGGGGTAAGCTGCTCACCCATGTGGTGTAATATTTATTTCTTTAAATACGAATACAAATTCATGAGAAAAATCACTCATAAAGCAAACATGCACCTACTTCCTCTTTTCCAGCATGTGTTCCGATATTTCCATGACCTCCACATCATTAACAACCCACGTATACATGAATTCCTCAACCCCGAAAACACCAGCACAAGAAGCAAATTTTTCCTGTACCTCCTTAACAAATCGCCCCCCTTTTTTTTCTCCCACCTTCATTCCCTGCTTAACTAATAGTATTGGATGTTTATTGGATCATTCTGCATATTATACATGCAGGCTAACTGCTAATGGGATCTTGGTGAGCTCCACCGCAGGTTTCCCACGCCACGTGGGATGGCCGTGTTGCATACCCCCCCCCCCCCCCCCCCCCCCC